CCCCAAAGCGTCCAAGATGTACGCTGGGGCATGTGGGTCAAGGGCTATCGTGAAGGGAGGACCATGACCTTGGCGCCAGTCATCAGGGTCACCCAGCCTGACCCTGGCCACCACCTGGGGCTCGGCGTTCTCCTCCACCTGCACCTCCTGCGGCTCAGACAGGAACGGCGGGTTGTCGTTCACGTCTGTAACGTTCACCTGGAGGGGGGAGGGAGAGGTATTCAGTAGACAGGAACGACAGAAACTTGAGATCGTTTGAAAAAAAAAAAAGTTGACAGTGAGAGTGAGTTAAGAGCCTTATGGAGGTCAAGGAAAGTGAGGCGAGGGGATGCTAAAAATGAGGGAAAGTGAGGTGACAAGCTAGTGAGGCTAGGAAAAAAAAAGAGAATTCATATTTTTAAAATTTTCCTGGCCGAAGTTTTAACGAATTCATATACAACCCGGGACCCATTCGGGTTTATTATTTAATACAGTATATTCCGGTGCCTACAAACTAGGATTTGATGAAACACCTGACTATGTAATCCAAATATATCCGGGTAAGGGTTGGGGCATCGGTTGACACATACTGTCCCTTATGTGGTGTGGTCGTCCAGTCATTCAACACTCAAGCAAGCGTATATTCAAGCCCAAGCCACAGCCCGTGGAATTGTATGCAATACATAAATATACATAAATAAATATATATAATACATATATCATCACAATGCAGGGAACATTAGAAAGAGCTCGAACGCATCTGGTCATCACCTGCTTACCAAACTGCCAGCGAATCTATGTTTAAATAAACACCTCTAGGAATCTTTGTGTGTTTACCACGGTAGCGATTCCATATTCAATGTCCCTTTCCAAGCTTTCTTAAATACTAAGTTGACCTTCAGATTGAAGGTCAGATTGATGAGATGAAGGGATTGAGGTGTTTAATATGGATAGAAATCATGAACTCTGGGAGCTTGATAGGGCGTTTATCGTAGCCTACAACAAGGAATGGATTCGAAGCGTTGAAGTTTCGGTGTTTGAATTCGTGGTCTATCATGCGTTCGTTCGTTCGTTCGTCCGTCCGCTATCTCTCTCTCCACACTTACCATCAAGGTGGCAGTGGCGGTTCTGGGCGGAACACCATCGTCCACCGCCCACACCCGCACATCGTGAGAGCGGGTGTTCTCGCGGTCGAGACTCCCCGCGAGTCGAACCGCACCCGACCCGTCAACTGCGAACCTCCTTCCATGGTCGCTTGCGGGGTCCACCAAGTACTGCACCCGACTCTCGCCTGCCTGGTGAGGGGGGAAGAGGTCCAAGGAAGACTTACTTTCAGGAATTTTTTTATCACATGCCCTGATAAAAAAAAGTTAGTTCGTACACAGAATTACTCGTCAATTGATTTAAAAATCTAATCTACCCCCAATTCAACCTAACCTATCGGCCCCAACCAAACCTTCCTTAACCTAACAGATTCTAACCACAACCTTAGCTAATATATCAAACAACATGTGCGGTGTTAACAAGAAAAATATTTCTGTTGTCGAATGGTTTAGAGAAAGATTTGGCCATAATCCACATACTAAAAATACATATATATATTATCTATAACATCAATATCAGTATATTGTAGAAAGCAGGACAAATACTTAAGTAAAGGAATTCTTTGTTTCGACATTTAAATGTAACTTACATAATCAGGAACTAATAATAAAAATATTACCCTCAAACATTTAAAACTGGTTAAAAAGACATGGATATTGCCATATTATACAAAAATGTGAATTAATAGTTTAAACTGATCTTGAGAACAATACGTAAAAGGCAGAACGATAATGATTACTGAAGATTAAAATGATTACTTTATAATGATTACTGAAGATTAAAAAGATAAAATAAATCATGCCTACAACTTATATTGATAGAAACAGAATGAACAAAATCAAAATTACAAAATACATGGGAGATACCTGGGTGGTGGACCAGTGCGTGGGAGAGTCAAGACAATAGTGGGGGTAAACCCACCAAACACACACCGAAACTACGACGTTGGTACAACGTTCGAACAAGTTTTTAACACCTCCTAACCAGTTATAACAACCAATATAACAAGTTGTAACAACGTTCTAATACGTCATAAACACGTTAAGACAAGATGTAACAACTTTATTACAAGTTGTAACAAGCGGAAAATAGAGACAGTTTCGGTTTGTGTTTCCAGGGAAGACCTCACACAAAAACAATTACAGTTATGGATGTTGGGGGAGGAAGAGTGGGGGGGGGGAGAGGTAGTGAGGGTGGAGGGGAACTACAATCAAAGAAAACAAAGCAGGAGAAACTTAACTAAACAGATAAGTCGCTTGTAATTAAAACAAAACAATGCAAATGCAACTGGAATTTTAAGCGTATTCAATTGAAATATATTTAATATATCTCTACACTATAAGAGCGAATGTTTCTCCGTCTCTCCAAAAAGGGAGAGGGAATAGCGTATTCCAGCTTATACCTTATTATATAAGAAGGTATATCTTATACCAGCTATATGTCCATATAGTTGGTCTAAGCAGGGGATGGAAAAACAGACCGAGGATGCAGAAAGCTTCAGCGGGGAACTGGAGAAACGAGGCGGAGAGGGGAAGTGAGTTACCTTTACCCCAAAAAAATTTGTAAGAGGAATGGTCTGAGGTACAGGACGGACATAGGTGGCTCTGGGTATGCCTTCGTAAAATGCTGTAAGAAATATAGCGTGTATCCCATTACCACCCCCCCCCTTCCTTTCCCTAGAGCGATTTTTATGTAATCTGAAATGAAAGGGTGGATGAACTCGGATATGTAATGTCCGTAGAGTGTTGAAGTTACTCCCGCAGTTTACCCGCGCATTTTATTCATTTACTTTATATGTAGATGGAGATGGAAATGTCCATCTGTTTGAGGCTGGAGGAGAGAGGGGGATGAGGGGAACATGGGGGAGATGAGAGAGAGAAAAGTGGAGGTGGAGGGAAAGTCGGGAAAGAGGAGGAAAGATTAGAGGACGAGGGAAGGGAGGAGATAGAGATAGATTGATATAGACAGAGATAACTACATATATGTAGATAAAGAGATGGCAGACAGACAGACAGACAAACCCGGGCAACGCTGGGTATCCTCCTATTATATCTGTAAAGGAGAATATCTGTGTCTGTCTGTCCGAGGCTGGAGACCAGATGCTTGCGGGCAGCCTTACCCCTTTCAAAAATGACACATGGCAGGAGGGAATGGGGGTATGGGAGTGTCATAGATCAGTTAAGGTTGGCCACAGTGCCACCTTTTAAGAAATATTGGCATCTATAGGAACCCCCCCTGCGATTTCATGAATTCTGAAATTGAGATTATGGGCCCCACTCCCGTTTCAATTAGTAGAACCTCCGAGTAAGCCAAATTTCTTATCATGAAACTAGAAAAAATATGAGCAGTTTTGTGTAGCATAACCCGGTTACTCTCGCAGTTTTCTCTTCGTATGTTGATGGCTCACCAGCTTACTCTTCCCAGTTATTGCAAATGATGAACACATTTCATTCCAATTATCCGAAGATTCGGATTACCAGAATGAGGATTTTCGAGCTACAACTGTATTAAATTTTCCAAGTGAGAGAAAGAGGGGAGAGGGGTAAGGGGAGAATGGGAAGATGAGGGTAGAGGAGAGAGAGAAAAGTGGAGAAGGTGAAAAATGATGGGAGATTGGGGAAAGAGTGTGAAGAGAGGAAGGAGAGGGGTGGGAAGGGAAGTAGATGGGTGTTAGGAAGGATGATGGGGCAGAAGTGTGAAGAAAGGTGATGAGGGAGAGAGAGGGGAGGGGAGGGGAAGATGAGGGTGGGAAGGAGATGAGTATTATGAAAGGAGCAGTATGGTAAAATGATACCTGTCGCTAAACGGTGCGATTCGTTAACTAGTTAAAATCTTTATCAATCGATCAATCAATCGGACAAATTCACACGGGAGACATCTCCCGTCACTCAGGGTACAACCACACCTCAACAGATCTCCAGTATCATCTATTGATACTGGTAATGTCTCAAAAGGGCCACCACTTACGGGCTATTCATGCCCGTGCCATCTTTTGGGTGGATTAATCTTCATCATCAACTAGTTAACATTATCATACGCAAAGTTTGAATGGTTACTTGGCTGTTGTTTGTTGTTTCAGATTTCGCTACTCAGGAAGAAGTGTCCATGTAGGACGGGCTATGGTGAGCCCGTAAACCGGTTACTTGGCGTTACTGCTGTCGGATATATAGCCGAGGATGAGGGTGAAGCATCTCACATAAGAACCAATAGACCCATTGCAGCTAAACAATCTCCAATGTTTCCATGATGGCTGGGGCAGTATATTGTAAGTTTCGTCTTGTTCTCGAAGATGGCAGAGAGTAATTTGTTGCTAATTAGCTGTTGATAGATGACTTAGTTCGCCTTACGTGTAGCGCCTCGTTAATGTCTAGTCTTCTGTTGTCGATTATTTTGGTGTTGTTTACCAGGATCAGGTTATATGTAGAGATTTATATTCAGACATTTCGGAGGAACTCCTCTATCATCAGCGCCTTCCAGAAGACAAGAGATCAAGAGGACATGTTGAGGTGTACACCACAATTATAAAGAGGTAGAAAGATCAATCAAATTGAGTCGTTGATGCCCATACTAAGGGCAATTGTAAGAATATGTGTGCTAAGATACGTGAATGAAAATAAGTTAAGTGTGATCTAGAGAGTGGCCAAGCAGAGATCGTCAATCCTTACTTTAATGTTCTGATGATTTTCTGATAAATTTTGTGTATATTTGAGCTATTCACAATACACAATGTTGAGTCAACTTGATTATCGCCTAAATGAGATGTTGGTTTTGATTATTTGATTTTTGAGCATGAAATATAAAGTAAGTTTGGTTATTACAATTTACGGATGTGCGATTGTTTCAAAATTTATATTGCACTGATTGTCATTTATTAATTTGGAGTGTTTTTGCCACCTTCATTTCTATTCTGCCTCTCCCTTTCCCATCCTATCCTCTCTCTCTCTCTCTCTCTCTCTCTCTCTCTCTCTCTCTCTCTCTCTCTCTCTCTCTTCTCTCTCTCTCTCTCTCTCTCTCCCTCTCTCTCTTGTCTCTCTCTCTCTCTCTCTCTCTCTCTCTCTCTCTCTCTCTCTCTCTCTCTGTCTCTCTCTCTCTCTCTCTCTCTCTCTCTCTCTCTCTCTCTCTCTCTCTCTCTCTCTCTCTCTCTCTCTCTCTCTCTCTCTCTCTCTCTCTCAATCTCTCTCTCTCTCTCTCTCTTCGTGTCTCTCTCTTACTCTCTCTCTCTCTCTCTCTCTCTCTCTCTCTCTCTCTCTCTCTCTCTCTCTCTCTCTCTCTCTCTCTCTCCCTCTCTCTCTTTCTCAATACCCCATTTTCCTGGAAACTGTCACAAAATTCTATAAACCTGGACTCTAAGACTCGACCCTCTCAGCGTGAATCTTGGCAGAGATGACCTTTAATGACCTCTACGAGTGATCTAACATTCCTCCCAGGAACTTCGCCATAAGAACACGCCCACTCCTCACCCTGACTCCGCCCATTGTTGTCAAGAAGCCACGCCCACTATTGTCCCTATACGTTCAAGGGGGCGTGGGCGGGAGGACGGTGTCAGGGAGGGAGGAGAAATGGTTTGATGTGTCACCCTTAAAGGACGGATTGTGAGCCTGATTGTGTGTTAATGTGCACTCATCTTTTGTTAATGGGTGTGTGCGTGTGTGATAGAGAGAGAGGGAGACTAAGGGAGAGAAGGAGACAGACGGAGAGAAGGAGAGAGACAGACAGAGATAAATACAGATTGACAGAAGGAGATAGCGCGTCCTAGACTCCTTTGTATATATATATATTAATTAACCATCTGAGGGAAGACATACGTTTGATATTTTGTTAATAATTTATTTTAACCTTTTTCTTATACTATGAGCGAGTGTTTTGCTTTCTTATTTTTCTGGTTTGTAGTACTAGTGATTGAAAATTACCTCCGGAACTCCTGAAAAATTACACAACGATGATATTTATATGTTTATATATATATATATATATATATATATATATATATTATATATATATATATATATATATATATATATATATATATATATATATATATATGCAGAATAACCACATGTGAAAAATAGAGAATGCTTAACGCGTTTTCGGCTAATTCGCCTTCATCAGAGCAAAGTAGAATGAAGATGATCCTCATTCTACTTTGCTCTGATGAAGGCGAATAAGCTGAAAACGCGTTAAGCATTCTCTATTTTTTTCCACATGTGGATATTTTGCATACTTGGGTCAGTGTTTTTGTGATCATTGTTGCATATATATATATATATATATATATATATATATATATATATATATATGTATATATATATATATATATATATATATATATATATATATATATATATATATATATATATATATATATATATCCATAAAGGATGTAAAATTTTGAATTACGGTTTGTTGACTTTTTTTGCGAGCGAGTTCCTTCCTCCTTGTACAGGCGTGTTGTCAGGTGTGAGTTGTGAGTGGGTTGTGAGTGGGTTGTGAGTGGGTTGTGAGTAGTGATTATGTTATGTATTGCCAAATGAGCCGCAGTGAGTGGTCTTAGTAGAACATTATCAACTAATGAGCTGTGTATGTCAGTGTCCTGGGAGAACTTTCTCACCCCATCAACGTCTTGGGAGAACTAACTCACCCCATCAGAGTCTTGGGAGAACTCACCCCATCAACATCGTGGGCGGTGAAGGTGGCCAGGTGGGTCCCTGGGGGCGTGTCCTCGGGGAGCGTGAGGTGGGCGTGGTCTCTGGTGAACGTGGGCGTGTTGTCGTTGGCATCCACCAGCTGGAGGTTGACCCAGGCCCCGTCAACGTGGTTCTTGTCGTCCCAGCCATCCTCTCCCTGGGGTCGACGACCGGTCGTTTGGGACAATAGGTTAATTTACACGAATCAAATGGACAAACTCGAGGCTTTAAAAGTGGAAATATTGTGGAATAGTTGATCCTTAAGAGGGTTCCATGCACATGTATACAGCACTTATATTTATAAGGGTTCCAAGTACCATGTTCACAATACTTTTATACGTTCAAGGGGTTCCTGGTACCATGAATACAACACATTCATATATACAGAGGTTCAGGGTACCATTTGCTAGTATACAGTACTGATTCATACATTTGGTGTTATACCAAATGTAAAGGTGTGTATTTACTATTTATATTTACTATTTTTGCGTGCAGGATCAAGATCTTAGCTCTTGGACTCCACCTTTCTAATCGTCGGTTGTCTAAAGTATTGACTCCCTATCTATTTTCTCTGTCGTATAATGTATAACTCTCTCTCTCTCTCTCTCTCTCTCTCTCTCTCTCTCTCTCTCTCTCTCTCTCTCTCTCTCTCTCTCTCTCTCTCTCTCTCTCTCTCTCTTTTTTACACCCACCCAAACATACATACACACATACACAGATTTAATACTTGAAATGGTACAATTGTATAGAGCTCAATGGCATGAATAATATATTTTCATGAATAATAAATATGTATTGCTGAAATACAACTTTGTCCCAAAAATACAGAACACACTGTCACAAGAAACCATAACTGTATGTTGTTAATATAATTACGAGTAAAAATTACAAAAAAATATATATAAAATATGAATAATTAACTATATTAATAACGGGTTCTGAATTCTGAATATTTGATATCGCTGTAGGTGCAGACGTCTGCTTTAGGAGCAGAGTTCTGCTATAGGTGCAGAGGTCTGCTGAAGGAGCAAAGGTCTGCTGTAGGTGCCGTGGTCTGCTGAAGGAGCAAAGATCTGCTGTAGGATCAAAGGTCTGCTGTAGGATCAAAGGTCTGCTGTAGGATCAAAGGTCTGCTGTAGGATCAAAGGTCTGCTGTAGGATCAAAGGTCTGCTGTAGGATCAAAGGTCTGCTGTAGGATCAAAGGTCTGCTGTAGGATCAAAGGTCTGCTGTAGGATCAAAGGTCTGCTGTAGGATCAAAGGTCTGCTGAAGGATCAAAAGTCTGCTGAAGGAACAGAGGTCTTCTGTAGTGTGACCACTCGTATATTTATGTAGCCTTGGAATGAGATTTAGTTATTGGCTCCCGCCTCTTAGCTTATAAATTTCCTTGGGATTTATAAACCTAGCACGTTTAAAAATCCCAAAGCAATACCACTTGCTTCTGGAGTTATGGCTGGAGGTGGCTTCTATGGCCTCCTCTTCCATATATTTCACTTGCTTACCTCCAGCACTTGATAGGAATTCCTTCTTTCATGTGAAAGAAGCAGTGAATCCAGTCTAAATGTATACTGAATGACCATGTTTCTGATGCACGAAATGTGGATTCAGGGAGGGACCCGGGAGGCTGAGAAGTAGCTGACCATAGTGGTTATCTTGAGATGATTTGATGATTGACAAATCATCAAATCACTCATGTTGTTAACATAACTTGCATATTAACTTGTTGTTAACATAACTACATAGTCATTAAATCATCAAATCATCAAGTGGTGACAAATGAGAGTGATGGAGGCTGTGACTCGTGATATTTCATCGTCCACTGCTGGGCATCACAGCCCGTCATCTCGAGTTGTCACAACGTCACGAAAATGATATACTAAGTATCCCCGAACCTAACCTCTATACCGAGCACCTACGAACAGAAAACGAGAACAGCCCCGTCTATTCTGTGAGCCCACTGTGGTGAACTGAGTGAGTATCACATTTTGGTCGTTGGGGAGTTTTTTTACGTCAGAAATACGGTGTACTATCCTCGATGACTTGAGTCCAAGGCTCAGGAGGAGAGGGGAAAGTAGTGAAGCTAATGATACATATCTTCTTATATATATCTTAATATAAATTACCCCAGACGCTGATACTGACTTAAGAAGGGACACTACAGTATTTTGTTACCGGGAAGCAGACGAGAATGTATACATCGAGAAGTATATTATACATGTATATTTTTTATAGCTTAAAAGAGGTACCACCTCTGGTGCAAGTGTAGGGACCCATAGCCTCGGAGAAGAAAATAAAGAGTACTCAGAGCAGACCTTGTGGATCCTCACTGAACACTTTGATATTTTATTCTCATACCACCAACTATTTTTTGTATTCTTTTATATATATATATAATATATATATATATATATATATATATATATATATATATATATATATATATATATATATATATATATGCGAACAAGCCTGAATGGTCCCAGGACTATATGCGACTGAAAACTCACACCCCAGAAGTGACTCGAACCCATACTTCCAGGAGCAACGCAACTGGTAACTACAGGGCGCCTTAATCCGCTTGACCATCACGGCCGGACAAAAGGAAGTGATAGCCGAAGCTATTTGAACCACTTCCCCGCCGGCAACTCGAAATTGTGAAATGCTATGCCCAAGATTACCATCCGAGTTGCCGGCGGGGAAGTGGTTCAAATAGCTTCGGCTATCACTTCCTTTTGTCCGGCCGTGATGGTCAAGCGGATTAAGGCGCCCTGTAGTTACCAGTTGCGTTGCTCCTGGGAGTATGGGTTCGAGTCACTTCTGGGGTGTGAGTTTTCAGTCGTCATATATATATATATATATATTATATATATATATATATTATATATATATATATATATATATATATATATATATATATATATATATATATATATATATATATATATATATATACATACATAGTTTACATCCAAAACTACGTTCAGGTGTAAAGAGTACTTACTGGTTTGCTATTCAGCTCTTGTGATTGGCTATATAGTCGACAAGAATTTGTAACCAAAGTCAGAGTGTAATATTAAATTCCTATTCAAGTTGAATCTATTGCTTGACGTCAGTGTGGCCACTACTAGTTTGAAACTTGTTTTATATTAGTCTAAAATATTACATTATACTTGCCTAGCACTTAACATTATACTTCTTTAACACATGACATTATACTTGTCTAACACATGACATCATACAAATATTTACTCGCGATTACCTTAAAAACGACCAAGTATATAACAATCATTATTAACAATTCAAGAAGATTTTAATATTTATGAAACAAATCAAGGTGATAGTCGTCAGTGTGTGTGTGTGTTTGTTCCATTGTCCGCTGCAACAAAGACACTGTAGACGGATATAGAGACTGATGGACCTGTTACCTAGCAGTAAAATAGGTACCTGGGTGTTAGTCAGCTGTCACGGGCTGCTTCCTGGGGGTGGAGGCCTGGTCGAGGACCGGGCCGCGGGGACACTAAAGCCCCGAAATCATCTCAAGATAACCTCTCAAGATATCCTCTTTAATTGGGTACTTCCCCTGCCAAAATCTAGAGTATGGGGCAGCAGTCTTTGTAATGGGAGGTGTTTGGTTAGGCTGAGGTCCCATACATAGTTTTCCAGAGGTGTAAATAACATGTCTCCAAAGGTAACGACTGATTTGCTTAATAGCATCCTGCAGGATAATGATTAATCAACTTTATACTATCCTGCAGGATAACAACAGATCAATTTAACAATGTCCTGCAGGATAACGACTGATCAACTTAACTATATCCTGCAGGATAGCGACACATCAATTTACCAATATCCTGTAGGATAACGACATATCAACTTAACAATATCCTGCAGGATAGCGACACATCAATTTACCAATATCCTGTAGGATAACGACACATCAACTTAACAATATCCTGCAGGATAGCGACACATCAATTTACCAATATCCTGTAGCATAACGACACATCAACTTAACAATATCCTGCAGGATAGCAATACATCACTTTACCAATATCCTAAAACTAAAATACTAAAAACCGTTTTTTTAACCACAAAATATGTTCATATTCATACATCAAGCGAAGGAAGGAAATAGAGATAAATAGTAACATACAAAAGGTACAATGAATAATGTTGTTAATGTATTACCCTCCCATTTGGAGGAGGAAAGGGAGCTATCAGGAGAAAGCGCTAAACCATTACGACTATATAGCACAGTACATATATATATATATATATATAGATATATATATATATTATATATATATTATATATTATACACACACACATTACAGAACATAGACGAAGGAGGGGCAAGTTAGGAGGCATAAGACACTTGCGCACGAACTGACGAAAGCAGTGACGTAGCCAGTGACGTACTCTGCGACATGGACAGTGCCATAGATATTAAATCTGAGGGTTAAGCAGACATTGACGTAGGCAATAGAGTTAATGGTATTGACGCTGGCAATGCCGAGGGCAGTAAATGTGATGACGCAAGTGACGTGAATCAGTAACGTAGGCAGTGGCGTGGCCAGGACCGTTGAGGGGTAATTCAGGCAGTGACGCAGGCAGTGACGCACGCGGTGACGTAGGCAGTGACCGCGTAATTCAAGGATTCGACACTGATATCTTTCGGATAACAGGAAAATTCTACATTTCGTCTTTGATCGTCTTTCTTATCGTTTGTCTGGCTGTCTGTCTCACCATCAATTTATGGTACATAAATGTTATTGGATTAAGCTGCCTGGATACAAATCTGTTATCGTTTTTTCTTGCATTTTGTAATCGGTATCATGATGGATTATAATGAATTATTAATACATAAATTTTTACCGCCATCTAATCTTCGGAATGTTTCTTCCTTTTTTTTGTAAATTCTTGAATAAAAACGCATTTATTTATAATTTATTTGCATTTGTATTCGATTTATTCTCTACTTTAAATATATATATATACAGTGATATATATAAATTTCCAAGGCGTCGAGATTTCGGAGTCGTTTTGAACAGCTTCATAAGCTTGGTATAACTCTGAACAGCTTCACAAGCTATGAACAATCTTTAACAGCGTCACATATACTAGAGATTCATCTCTTTCAAAAAACTCCTTTAGATTGTCTTTTCTGAACGAAACTGTTCCATTTATTTTTTGGGCCCATAAAATAGCTGTGTTTAGAGTTAAAAATTATAAGCACAAATTTCATGAAATTTTGTTTAAAGAACTGTTTAGTGAAATGGCTCGTTCGCTTTGGACCAGGAAGACCAGATGAACAAAAATGTAAAAAGGCATTGAAAATAGAGTTAGGGAGTTTAAACTAGAAAATAACATTCAATTACACTCGTGTTTATGTTCTTCGGTGTTATACATGAACATGTTATTCATGTACTTACAGTGTTTTAATGTTATAATCACCAGGTCCACCAATGTTATACATAAGCTCAGAGCTTCAATGTTATACATTAATTCGGTGTTATACTGTTATCTTGAGGTTATCTTGAGATGATTTCGGGGCTTTTTAGTGTCCCCGCGGCCCGGTCCTCGACCAGGCCTCCACCCCCAGGAAGCAGCCCGTGACAGCTGACTAACTCCTGAGTACCTATTTACTGCTAGGTAACAGGTTATATATCCACTCGGAGCTCCAATGTGATACATACGATGTTATACATACCGTATACTAATAAAGCATTTACGTTTAACTAGCCTAAGCAAACGTGACTTTAAAACTGTAGCTTGGAGAGTTCCAGGTATATGGCGCTGTGAAGGAAGGTGAAAACACGAGATATATATCATTGCAGGACTTACACACATGACACTAGGGCAAGCATTGACACATATGAGAGCATGGCAACCGTTTACACATATGGTACCAGGATAGGTATTTTCACATATGGTACCAGGATAGGTATTTACATAAATGGTGCCATAACAGATATTTGCACACATGGTACCAGAACAGATTTTTACATATATGGTACCAGGAAAGGCGTTTACATACATATTTCAAGGTAAGGAATTCACACACACACACAAGGTACCAGTACAGGTGTTTACACATATGTTTCTAGTACAGGCATTTATACACATGGTCGAAAAGCAGGCATTTACACACCTGGTCCAGACCAGGCATTTACACACATGGTTCTAGAGCAGACATTTACACACACATGATCCTAAAGCAGGCATTTACACACATGGGCGTAGAGCAGGCATTTACAAACATGGTACCAAGGCGCGCATTTACATATATAGTCATTTACAGTCTGGGCATTTACACACACACATGGTACCAGAGTATTCATATACACACGTAACTCCTGGCAGTCTTTTAAGTTCGTGAATTCTGTCACAAACATTCCTTATTAAGCAGATGAGGAGTCACAATAACGTGACTGAAATATGTTGACCAAACCACAGACTAGAAAGTGAAGGGACGACGACGTTTCGGTCCGTCCTGGACCATTCTCCCAATCGACTTGGGAATAGTCCAGGACGGACCGAAACGTCGTCGTCCCTTCACTTTCTAGTGAGTGGTTTGATCAACAATCCTTATTAAGGTCATGAAATCTGTCACAAACATTCACAAACATGTCGCCTACAATTACCAAACAACAATGCCACCTACCATATCTGTAACTTGAACCCTGAAGCGAAATCCTCGACGATGTTCAGGGTTCTCGTAGTCTAGAGGGATGAGGGCCCTTAGGTCCCCACCAAGGGTGCCATTGACCTTCTCGTCAACGCGGAACATGTGCCAGCCACGACCGCTGCCTGGCACCACCTTGGGATGAAAGAGAGATGAGAGAGATGAGTGATGCTGGTTGGAGATGCAGGTCTCGTATGTAAATATCTGCTTAGTGAGAAGCTGATGTTTACATAGGAGATGTTTGATCTTTATTTAGTGTGTTCTGTTTGTGAAAATTCGTTTCTATTCTGGATTCAACAAAATATGTTTTCCCAGTTATTCATTTATTCTACTATCTTCGCGTCTCAGGAGGATGCTTGACCACGACGTGCCGGATACTAAAGGTACTCGACACGGTAGATGTAAGGTAGCAGACTAAGGTGCTCTCAATAAGGAACAGATACAAATTATGTAGATTAGTTTTGGGAACAACCAAGTAAAGGTGGAGAGGCAGGACCCAAGAACTGAAGCTCAAACTCCCCTCTTCAAACACAGTTGAACTCACACGTGTGTGTGAGTTCAAGTGTAGATATGATAGAGCCCAATAGACTCAGGAACCTGTACACCTGTTGATTGACGGTTGAGAGGCGGGTCCAAATAGCCAGAGCTCAACCCCCGTAAGCACAATTAGGTGAGCACACACACACACACACACACACACACACACACACACACACACACACACACACACACACACACACACACACACACACACACACACACACACATACACTAAATTTGAGAGTCTTACAGAGTCTAAAAGATCTGATTACGAGGTATAGACTCACTATTATCAAACACGCGTCACAAACTGCAGCCCAACGCTATCTACCCCCCCCCCCCCCTCCGGGCTCTACTGACCATGAAGGTGAAGTTATTGGAGGTGTCTTGGTCGAGGACGGTGAGCGTGGCCAGAACGTGGTCCGGGGTGAGGCTCTCAGGCACCTCCAGGGTCCACTCCTTCATGGAAAACCTCGGGGGAACATCGTTCACATCTGTCACCTCCACCAGCACCGTCCCCGTGCCTGAGGAAAGCGGGGGTTAGGAGATTAAGGTTCCCAGGGGGAATGAATTCTCTGTATCACAATATCACAAAATGTTGATTGAATGTTGATGTATAGAAGGACATCAAAATGGGTCTAGGAAAAAACATTCGGTGAAGTTTTGCTCAATCACGTTCTTCTTTGTATCATGTGGATGTCATATACGTCTTCAAGGATGAGAGTGATTGTGTTACATGTCAACAAATCAGTGATTGGGCCGTACTTCATCAAAGAAGCCAGAGATTGGGTTATTCGTCATCAAGGAAGCCAGTGATTGGGTTATTCGTCTTCAAAGAAGCCAATGATTGGGTTATTCGTCATCAAGAAAGCCAGTGATTGGGTTATTCGTCATCAAGAAAGTCAGTGATTGGGTTATACGTCATGAAGGACGCTGGTGACTATCAGTGAAGCCAGTGATTGGAATATAAGCCATCAATGAAGCCATTAGCTGGGATATTCCTAACTGAGGAAGCCACTGAGCAAGTTATACGTCATCAAGACACCCAGTGACTAGGATATAGGTCATCTCGAAAGCCAATGATTTGGGTATATATCATCAAAGAAGCCATTAACCAAATCATTAGTAAGTGAGTAGGTGAGCCAGTAGGTGAGACCACCTACTGGCTTCTTCATATAGGAAGCCAGTAACTGAATCATACG